TAGCCATGAACTTGACTGGGATTAAGAGGGAATTCGGTTTTGTCCAGATAAACCATACATGAAAGCTAGTAATCCTCTTTGATTTGCCGTCTCCCTTAGGGAGGAGGTGGATTAAGACCCATAAAAATTGAATTCCAGCTATTTCACCATAGGTTTGTGCTTAAAAGGAGGAAACTGGGCCAGGGCAGGGGGCCGTCATTCACTTGTCCTCTCCACATCCAGTGCACAGAAAGGAATTTGGCCAGTGGTTAAACAGTGACAACTCCTCTTGTGCTGCAGCATTTACCGAGCACCTGCTGCATGACCAGATAAGTCGTAGGTCATGAACTGAGAATAATAGTGATGAGTAAAATTACCATTCATTGCCTGGTGGATACAGAAACATCCAGTTTGAGGAGAACGCAAAGCTCACTGACATTGAGCCAGAATTGACCCATAGCTGATCTTTGAGCAGCGTTTTGGGAGGTTGTAAATCCCATGAGAGAAGATTGCTCCTCATTCTCCCCAGGAGCCTCTGGTGGATTTGAACCTCCAGAGAGGCACCACCTTTAGGTAAGCAAGACACACACCACACTGTTAAATCCCTAATGCTGTATATTTGGTTCACAGTATAGACTCCTGATTATATGAAGTCTGTCCTCTGTTTTGATCCTCCCTTTCCTCACCCCCATCCTTGAACTTCTGTTTCTCAAGGTCAGAGGCTAACTATGGGGAAGAGCTGCAAGGTGGTCGTCTGTGGCCAGGCGTCTGTGGGCAAAACATCAATCCTGGAGCAGCTTCTGTACGGAAACCATGTAGTCGGTGAGTGTCGGTGGGGTGGAAGAAGTTGAAGAATAAAGAGCAGAATTTGATTCCCACATGCAGAGGTTGAAAGCTGCTCCTGGTGCATTTTTGCCCCTTGGAGTGTAAAATCTACATGGCAACGCCCAACCCTACTGCCATAAAAGTGAGGACATCTTCACTACAAATGCAGAGGGTGGAAGTGGAAAATACAAAATGAGGAAACTCACCCCCCATTCAAATTTTGCTAAGTCTGATGTTAGCATGAAGGTGATCTCCATCAGTGAAATAATCCGTCCTGCCAGGTTCACTGGCTTTGTCTCTTCAGCCCCTTCATTCCTTCTCCTCCCTGTCTGGCCAGCCTGGGAGGATGAACTCAAGCCCTTCATGTTTCCTATCTCCTTCCCCTCTTTGTGTCATTTTTACCCCAGGTTCTGAGATGATTGAGACTCAGGAAGACATCTACGTGGGCTCCATAGAGACGGACCGGGGTGTGCGGGAGCAAGTGCGCTTCTATGACACACGAGGCCTCCGAGATGGGGCCGAGCTGCCCCGGCACTGCTTCTCCTGCACCGACGGCTATGTCCTAGTCTACAGCACAGACAGCCGAGAGTCCTTTCAGCGTGTAGAGCTGCTCAAGAAGGAGATTGACAAATCCAAGGACAAGAAAGAGGTATGTGACCTAGACTCTTGGTGGGAGCCCCCAGGAGAGTGGGCTCAGAGCTGGTTTTGAGAGGCATGGCCTGATTCCATTTTCTTACTCATTTGCTAAAATGTGGGGTAGGAGATAGAAACAGCAGGGTAGGGAGCCCTGGAAGGGGTCTTCAACCTATAAAAGGTGATCATATGGTGAACCAGCTTAATCAAAGAGGTTTAAAGCGAGCCTGATATAACACAGGATGCCCTAATAGTGACGATCCCATGTTCTTAGCTATGAAGGCCTTTCTGTTCTCCAAAAGCCCCTTATAAGCAACAAGCATTCTGATTGTGCTGCCAGAAGATTAACTAGAAACTAACTAGAACTCCATCCAGGTAGTTAGCAAGAACGGACAACACAAGGATCTGAAGTGGAATTCCTGGAGGATCAGAGAAGGCCAGAATTTAAACAGAATTAAAAAGCCAACTATTTCCCTCCTGCCAAGGAGTATTGAGTGTACCATGGACTGCCAAGAAAACAAACAGATTCATCCTCAAGAGGGTTAAACTGGGCTGCTCCTTGGAGGCAAGGATTCTGAGGCTCCGTCTAACATACTTTGGACATGTTGTAAGGAGGGACCGGTCCTTAGAGAGGGACATCATGCTTGGGAGGGTGGAGGGCAGGTGCAGGAGGGGAAGGCCCTCTATGAGGTGGATTGATTCAGTGACTGGGATAATCGGAATGGGTGTATCGGAGACGGTGTGATTGGCACAGGACAGAGCAGAGTTTAGGGCTATTGTACATCGGGTCGCTATGAGTCACAAGCGACTTGATGGCACATAACAACAACAACAATAGAACTGAGATTTCTAGAACTCCCAGTGGGATCTAGCCCACATCCGATTCTTGACATCCTTGGTGCAGACCTAACTGTTCCTTCTTTCCCAGGTCACCATCGTGGTCCTTGGCAACAAGTGTGACCTGCAGGAGCAGCGGCGTGTAGACCCAGACGTGGCGCAGCACTGGGCCAAGTCAGAGAAGGTGAAGCTGTGGGAGGTGTCGGTGGCTGACCGCCGCTCTCTCCTGGAGCCCTTTGTCTACCTGGCCAGCAAGATGACCCAGCCCCAAAGCAAATCAGCCTTCCCCCTCAGCCGCAAGAACAAGGGCAGTGGCTCCTTGGATGGTTGAAGACCTGCCTCCCTTCATCACCCTTCCAACCTCTTCCCAGTTTCTGGGGCTCTGGAAGATGGGTTGAGGGAGAAAGCAGGGCAGACAAAGGTATCTTTACTAAAGTCAACAGAACAGCTCCCCAGTAGGCCAGGCAGCTGGGCTGACCGGGGTCTCAGGTCACTTGTGCTCCCTCCTAAATCCGAGAAGTGCAAATGATCTAGTCCTTCCTTCCCTCCACCCTGCCTCCCATTCATCACACTAGCCCCACTGTGACCTGGGGCGGCTCTAGGTCAGTCCTTCCCTCGTCCCTGAGACAGAAGCAGAGCAACCATTCAGAAGTGCCCAGTCTGGGATCTGGTTCCTCTTACAGGAACCTCAGCCCCTGGACTTCATGCCAGTAACACACAGAATTAGGGCCTCAGCCTGGATGCTAAGAGAAATGTCCCCACGTGCGTGTCTGTGCTGGCACTAGGGAGTGTCTCTTGTTGGACACCCTGACCTTGCTCCCGTCTGTCCCTTAGCTGGAAGAAGCTGGCCTCCTGGGGAGTGTATGAACTATTCCTCCAATTGTTTCTCTTCCTCTTCCTGCTCAGGAAGTGGAAGGTCCTCATTGGTTGACGTGGAATGGAATGATTGCTGGAAGTCACCAGCTGCCTTGGTGACCCAGCAAGGCCTTTCTTTCCCCCTTTTTGGGCTTAATTTTCTCATCTTTATGGTGATGAGAGTTAACTAGGTGATCTCTTAGATCCTTTCCAGCTCTATGATTTTGGGCCATCTGTGACTCCCTTGCTTCTTACTCTTTGAGGTGCTATGCCTACTAGCCACGGAGGCTGGTACACTACTCTCCCTCCAGCCACCAGGGGGCAGGAGTGCACTGTCCAGTCTTGGTTGCCACTGTGGCCACTCAGTGCCCAGCCAGTCTCCACCCCTGCCCACTCTCCTGTGGAGGCTGGTATTGACCTCTTCCTAAGTTTTAAGCTACTAGCAGGATTTTATTTATGAATTTCTTGTATTTATATGCCTGCTGCCATGTGAAGGCTGGATAAGGTGCTCCTGTAGCCCTTCTTTCTTACCTCAGATGCCTGAACAGAACAAGGCAAACCATTAGCAGCTCCCAGGGAGCTGACTGGACTCCTGTCGGGGCTCGTAGCTTCCTGTGCCTACTTCTTACTTCTGGTATGTGCACCTAGCCTAGGTGAGACACTATCACAGGGCAACCTCCAATATGTGCCCTTTCTTCCCCTAACAGGAGAGGTGAGCAAAGGTTGGTGGTCTTGGGCTGGGCAGGTCGAGTCAGGGCACATACAGCCTCAGGCTTAAAGTTCATTTATTGATGTATTGGACAATAAAACCACAACTGCTTGTTATCAAAAAGTTTCCCTTCCCTCCCTCTTTGTTCTCCCACTGGAAGTATCTAAAAAGAAGAAGATCTGAGTGGGTACTGGCTAAGTCCCATATTGTGGGGTGAGGGCAGGGCTGGGGCAGGGCGGGTCTGTAACATTGACTGACAGCTTGCAAATAGGTCTTGAGAGAGTCTCAGTCTGGGTCCCCACACTCAGCTTCCCAGGGAGAGCCTTGAGGTTGCTGGTTGGGAGAAGGAGGGAAAGCTGAACTTAGATGCTAGGGAGTTATGGGGGAAAGCTCTTCATTAGGGAGTTCTGGTGTTAGCTGGGCCCAAATTCTGAAGATCCAGACACCTGCTCCCCTAAAAGCTAGGGTTCAGGGAGAATCAAGTGAGGAACAGAAGAGATTTAGTAGGATTGATGACTTCCTCTGTTAAAACTGGACGCAGCAGAACATCATCCTCACCCACCCTATCTTAACCCATTAAATGATCCCATTTAATCCCGTTAAAGCAGCTGGGCCCCTCCCCAGACTTCCATCCCTCTACCCCCTTGGCTCTGGAACACTGCTTGGCCACGGGCCTGCCAGGTCTGCCTTCTCCACGTTCCCATGGTCACATGTCCGGATAGCCTTGAGATCCCATCCGTCATCTCCAGTGATTCTTCAGAAGTAACTAGAGGGATGAGGGGTCCTCCCCAGCATGGGAGTGGAGGTCACAGCCTTGTTCCCGGGCCAGGAGAGGCACGTGGCTCGTGGCTCGGATGTTTGCATGAGAGCACCACAGGGCTGGGGCGGAGATTTTGCATAGTTCTTTAGGATTTCTTGGTCAGCTCCCCAGAAATCAGGCTGGGAAATGCTGGGGTGTCCAGGACTAGCCCTGGGAGGGCAAGGATGGTCCTTGGAAAAGGAGGGTACTAATTTAATCCCCAGTTTGGACTGGAAGTGAGGGGGCTACTGCCTGTCAAACTAGCCCAGGTCTTCTGGTTTGGCAGAACCCCCTAAGCTGTAGATGTAAAAAACCAAGGCCTTTTGGGGGGCAAGGGAAGTCAGCTCTGACTCCCCAGGAGGGCTAATAGGGGGTGAAGACAATGGGTCCCGTGGCGGGCCGGATGGCTCCCGCTGGAGTACGGAACAGAGCTGGGCCCAGGATTGGAGCTGGGAAGAGGGTAGTGGGCGCGGCTGGAGCAGGCCTCAGGGCCAGTGGCCCCGGCAGGGCACAGATGGCTGCCGCAGTTGGGAGCGGGCTGGGCAGGAAGCGGGCTGCCAGCATCTTGGTGAGTTGTTTCTGCAAGGCCAGTTTTGACTGCAAGGAAGAGAGAGAAATAAACACAGTCCCTGACTCTGAACCCCCACTCCTCCCTGGGTGCCATTCTCGGGCTTTTTTAGCCACAGGAGAAACGTGACTTTTAGGGTTCTAAGCCTAAGTCCTCCTCCTCCTCGCCCCCAGATGTCCATTCCAGAGGGCTTTCTGCACCACCTGTCTTCCTGCCCCAGGGGGGACGTGATGGTGGTGGAGATGGTCTTCAGGAAATGCCCGCCTACCCCTCACTTCAGCCCTGGAATTTGCTACCTCAGCCCAGCTCCCCGGAAATCCCTCAGAGCAGATCCCAAGACAGCCAAAAACTCAGCCCCAAAGAGGAGTCCCCTTCTGGCTGCCTCCCCTGGCCCCCCTCCAGGTCCCCCTCCCACTGGTCCGGTTTGAGCCAGGTACCTTGAGGATGCTCACAGCCAGCGCTGCGTGCTTCTGCAGCTTACTGTGCTGGCCGGAGGGCTTCGGGGGCTTCCCGGCCAGGCGGTCCTTGTGCCTCCTGCTGCTCATGTGCTAACGGACAGACAGACAACACAGAGAAACTGGGAACAAGATGGGATAGCCCAGAACCCCCAAACTCTTGCTGACTACCTCCCCCTGCCTTGACCTGTAACTCACAAGTTTACCAGCTACTCACCTGGAATAGGCCCTAAGGAAGAGATGTGGTGCTTCAGCTTTGCCCTCCAGAAGCCCTGCTCAACTACACTCTCTTCTTCCTCCAGGGTCTGCTCTGCCCCCAACTGCATCTCCTCCCCACACCCCTCCCTGCCCTCCTCGCCCCAACCCCAGTCCAGGCAGGCCCTGCTTCTCCCACCTGCTTGAGCTGAGTCTCTGAGTTGACCTGGAGTTGGCAGAGAGCACAGTGGAAATGGGGGCTGGGGCCCTGGCGACCCCCCCGGCCCCCTGTCACACATTTGGCTTTGTGTCCAGCTCCACTTCGGGGCACTGGGCGGCCCCGGCCCCTGCGGGGAGCTCCTCGCTGGCCTTCCGTCATCCACCTGTGCTTCGCTCCTGGAGGGAGGGCAGAAGGGGCCTGTCAGCGCTGAGAGTGAGGGCCGCAGAGAGCCCCTCTGGGCTCGCTCACGCTGGCTGGCCCTTCAGGCCTGGAGGCTGCTCTGCACACACATTCTCATGAGATCTCGCGTCTCTAGGTTTTCAGCTTCTCTCATGCCACGCTTTCCCCGAGGTGGCCTTTTTCAGTGTAACTAGTGGCTTCCCCTCTGCTAGTCTCCCTCACTCTGGTTCTGTTTCATAGGGAAATGGAGCAGGTGTCTCCTGCCCTCTCTGGAGTGACCTTTCAGAGGTTTCCTGACTTTCAGTTCCTGCTGCCCTCGGCTGCTTTTCCCAGTTCCCCTCACCCAAGAATTGCTGAGAAGACCCAGGGATGCCTGCTCAGTCAAGAACAACTAAACCCAAGGCTTGTCACAAGGCCCTTGAGGGAAGGAACTAGGGCCTGCCCACACCTGGTCAGGGGAGCTGATGGCACACGCACCTGTGTTGTGAGCCTGCAGCTGGGAGGTGGAGTTCACCGTCACCTTGCACGTGGGGCAGTAGAGGCGTCCCTTGTCAGTCCTGCCCTCACTGCTCACGCTGCTGCCCACTGCAGCTGCTGCGGGCTCAGGGCCCGGAGCCTCTCGCCCAGGCTCTGGGGAGCAGGGTGGGCAAGAGGAAGGAGAGAGAGAGGAGGCAGCATCTAGGAGGTCAGAGTGGGCCCGCTGCCTGGGCGTGGAGTCCAGAGTCGGTGGAGACTGTAGTGGGGGACTCGGAGAAGGAACTGCAGGGAGACGGGAGGCATATTAAGTAAGAATATGGAGCCCTTTGCATATTTATTGAAATACATCTGCAACCTGTAAGACTGGATTTAAAAGTACTGCTGGGCATGTGTGCTGAAAGTACCTTGATTGCTCCAATATAACGAAATAGCCCAAGGAACATGGTTGTGGGAAGGGAAAGAGGAAACAAAGCTAGTCAGATGTGCATTTTATCTGTGGTAATAAACATGTTCAAACAAACAAAATATGGGTATGGCGGCCCGAGTGGATTCTTTAGACTGATTTTTATATTAACATATGGGGGCAGTATGGGAGAGTGTAGGCTCTATAGTGTTGGGGTACCACACTTAACTCTCCTGCCAGCTTACACGTAAACTTGGACCTTCCTGGGCCTCAGTTTCCCTGTCTGAAGTCATAAAGTTGAACAGCAGTCTCATAAAGGCCTTGCAACCCTGGTTTATTTACTAGTTGTTAAAGAAGTAAAAATTAGAGACATGTCCTATAATGTTCATGGCACTACTCATCGCCATATAAAACTGTAAACTATCCCAGTGACTGTCAGTAGAACAGGTAAAATACAGTGGTAAGTTTGTACACTGGAAAACCACAATGACAAAGAACAGACCAGCTATGTACTACAACATGGATGAATTTTACAGCCATAATGATGGACCAAAATTGCTAAACAAAAGTCTAAAACCAGATGAAGTGGAAAACTTCAACCCAAGCAAAAGCAATGAACAAAAATCTCAACCACTGATCAGAATCCCGAGAGAGTGGGGTTGTAGAGAAGAGTCTCGAACTGACCTGTGTCCTGCAGCTCTTCAGGGGCCTCTCCACTGGCTGGGGTCAGGACTGGGGACACCACTGTCTCATCCTGGGCTAGGGTTTGCGGCCTCTGCTTGCCCTTGGCAGCCTCAACCGCTTTGACTTTTCTCGCATGTTTGTGGCCTTTATAATGTGCTTCAGCCTGGTTCTGGGGAGGGGAGAGTCCGATGTCATCATTCATTCACAGAGTCCACAGCCCTCATCTGTGCCAACTCTGGTCTGGGGCCAGGTTAGAAGAAGGCAGGACTCAAGCCACTGTCATTGCCATCACAGCATGCGTGCATCTCTGAGTCTGACAGAATTCATTCTCATACACGAGTTCCAGGGGAAGCAGATCTGAGCTTCGACATCCTCCCTCAGCTCTTCAGCTGTGCACCTTTGGGCAAGTCAGTTACCCTCTCGGAGTCTCAGTTTTCTTACCCAAAAACTTTATGACAACAATGCTGACCACAGGAAGTTGGAAGAATGTAATAGAAATATGAACGATAAGTGCGTAGTATACACAGTAGGTGTTTAATCCAAACTAGTTACCAGGCTTATAAATGAAACCAGTCCTCATACTCTGTGGTACATGTACCCCCAAACATTCATCCCTTTGTCCATCTTCCCAGCAGTGAATGGACATTTTCTGTCAAGCACTGTGCCAGGGGTCTAGCATGAAGAAGACATAGTACCTCCTGCAGAGCAATCTCTCTCCATCTTTCACAAAATTCCTGTGGTCTGACAGCCTAGAAAAGTAAAACTCACTGCCATCAAGTCAGTTCCAGCTCATAGTTAACCCTACAACGGGTTTCAGAGTTTATCAATTGCAATGGGGTGGATTTGAAACACAGGAAATACACAGCCTTTGGGTTAACAGTGAATGTGCCTAGGCTGCCACCCAGAACTACCCAGACCAAAGGTAACCTTCCCTGGTAGGGGTAGGGGATGGGAAAATCACTCCAGCCTTGGGGCCAGGCTGGCCTGGATGCAAATCCCAGCTCTGCTGCTCGCCAGCTGTGTGCCCCAAACAACCTTGCTGAGACTCAAGCTTCCTCATCTGAAAAGTGGGGATGATAATACTTCCCTATCTGTCTCACAGTTACGTCCTGAGAACAAACTAAGATGATGGGTACAAATGCATCCCACGTGTTCTGAGAATTCTAGCAAATACCAAGTGGTCTCAGACAGTAGGGAAAGGTGGTCTCTTCGACAGAAGGTTCCAGAACACAGAAGTAAGCTGAGGACAGGGGACCCAAGGGGACTGGAGCTGGGCAGCAGGAGGTTGAAAGATGGGACAGAGGAATTACAAGAAAAAGAGATGATTAAAGGACCAAGCATGCCTCTTCAGTGGCCAAGCCAGAAAATATCGACCACCCTCTGCCACCCCATTCTTCCCTACAAGCCTCTGGAAGCCCAGCCCCCTCCTCTCTGTTACCACCACCCCCTCTCACCGCTGAGTTGAACCTCAGGTGACAGATGTTACAGGAAATGAAGAGCTTCTTCTTCAGAGGGGAGGGGACCCCAAAGGTGTGGCTGATGACAGCTTTCTGGACCGGGTCCATCTGTGAAGGGGACGGGAGACCATGGTAACTCTGGAATCTACTCCAGAAGGCACAGTACCACATGTCCGCATCTATACAGACTCCGGAGGGCCTATGGTCACTCTCGGAAGAACATTCTTATCTTTGTGGGTGCTAGACACCAAAAACGACCCAGCCTCTTGTCCCGGTGACTGAGCTCAGCCTGGGCCTCTGCCTGGAGGCAGGGGACAGCCAGGGTGATCGTTACTGAGCAGGTCCTGACGGTCACCTTGACTTCTCCCACTGTTCCTCTGATCTCTGTTTTTCATTCACAAGAATCACAACTATTGGGACAAAGAGTTGAGGAGAGACAAATAATTGCCTCTTTGATGAATTTCTTTATATTCATATTGCAGTAGTACAAATTCTGTGCTGAGACCTGTGGGCTAGACAAAGTAAGTCCTATTCTGTCAGCGCCAGTGGTCACAGAAGTCACATGCGAGGTGTTTTTAAAGACACTAAGGAGAGTGTGAGCCGTGTCCACAGGAGAGGTGGTGACCAAGAGGAGGCCAGTACTTCCTGAACAGCAGGGACATTCATTCTTTTGGACTATCAATTTGCAGGTCTTTTCTATTTTCCTTAAAATATGCATTTTTTTTCCTTATTCTACCAAACCTAGGTCCTTTTTCAAGGGTCAAAACCAGAAGTTGCACAGGCTTATCAAGAGGAACTCATTAGGGAGCTCTGGTGGCCTAGTGGCAAGAAGCTGCACTGCAATCCCAGAGTTGCCTGGTTCAAATCCACCAGATGCTCTGCTGGAAAGGGAGACACAATCTCCTTCTGTACCAGTCAGATCTGATTTGATGGTACACACAGAAAAATAATAAAATTTAAAAAATTTAAAAAAAGAAGAGGAACTCGTTAAATGCTCCCAAAGGAGGAGTTCAGAGGCTTTGAGAAGAGCCTGGTTCTGGAGACTTCCCTGGACACAGAAGAGAGGCCAACTCTCACAGCACCTCAGAGAATGGTCTGCAGGGTACACAGCATGTTAGACAACTGTGACTTCATGTGTCCCGGAGGGATCATGCCCTCAACTGTGAGCATGCTAGCAGGTAACAGTGGGGACCAAAGATCAGAGGGCCCCGCTAAAATCCCTGGACTAGGTAAGACTCTACACAGCCCTGAAGGGTGAGCAGGGTAGGACTCACTGAGGTAGAATTTCTGGCCAGCTTGTGAGAATGGTGTAAAAAATAAAACCCAAAACTGTTGCCTGGGGTCAATGCTGACCCACTTGAATAAAAGATCAGAAATTCTCCATAGGGTCCAAGACTATGTATTAACAGAAGCGGACTGTGACATCTTTCTCTACTGACTACCAGGGCACCTTCAGGATTACGTGGACTCATTCGGGACAGGGTAGGCCTCATTAGTGATTACATTTGAGTTTCTTAAATTAAAAGAGAGGAAAAATTATTCTTCACACACATAATGGAGTAAAAAACCCACCTTCCTTATATGCTTCATTCATACACATACACATAAGGAAATGCATAGACTAGTGTGGACATAGCACACAAGTTTACAGGTACAGTTGCAAGCCACAGAGACACGCAGAAAGATACACAAATTCTTGTCACACCGTCCTAGGCCCCCAAACCACACAAAATCACTGAGGCCAGGCAGATACCAAATGTAAATGCCATACACACACACAAAGACTAAGAATGCTCAGATACATGGACACACAAGAATTGTTTATAAACACACATACTGGACACCTAAACCACACGTCCACAAATAACGAAGACCACAGAGACACAAACAAAAACAGGCAGACAGATGAAAACACAAGTGAAACTAGAGTCACAGTGGTGGGGGTGGAGGTGACGCTGTTTTGTTCCCTAGTTCTTGTGGTCTAGTGGCTAAGGAGTTGTGCATGCCAACCTAAAGGCAGACAGTTCGAATTCATCAGTGGTTCTGCTGGAGAAAGATGGGCATTCTCCTCCTGAGTGATTCTAGTCGGTTCCAACTCAATAGCAAAGAACAGCTGCCCAGGGAAGGACGGGGTCCAGGGGTTTCACCTACTCACTTGGGGAGATGCTGGAGGATGAACTCTTGGAAATCCAGCTGCTGGAAAACCCTCTGAGCCCTCCTGACCTACCCCCCCCCCATTTGGGTGTGTGACTTCCACCCTCCAGCCCAGCCCGTACCGTGCTGAAGTTGGGGAAGAGACTGAGCGGGGCAGCGCCATTGAAGTGGAAGGCGAGCAAGTGCTTGAAGTCCAGCGGGGGCTGCAGAGGCCGAGTGGGCAGGGGCAGGGAGGCCAGCAGGGGGCTGGGGGCACTGGAGGCAGGGCCTGCTGCAGGAGGAAGAAGGGCAGGTCTGAAGTGAGGTGCCAGGGGGTGCCCTTCTACCTCCGCAGCCTGCTGAACATCTTGGGTGTGGAGCCAGGGCAAGAATTCCTGTCCACCTCTTCACAAAGCAGCCCAGCCAAGGCTGGGCCAAAGTGTCCCTTGGCTCTATAGTCTATTTCCACGGCCCTTCTCAAAGCTGGGGAAGCAGAGGTAGAGTCCACAGGGCAAGGCTCTCAGTCCAAGAGAATGACCCTTCCCCACCTACAGAGGTAACAGGATGGCTAAAATAACCCCCAAGGAGGGTCCAGGCATGGGGGGGGCAGGGCAGAAGAGCCAGCACAGGGCCCCGGACACATATCACCATGGAGACTGCAAGGTGCACTGGTCTTCCACTTTATTGTAAATGAAAACCCAACCCAGGATGCTGGTGCCCTCCTCTATCACTCTCTCGCCCCGCTCCTGATTCCCACACTGTTCACAGTCGGGTGACAGGAGGGGCTGGGAAGACCAGAAGGAGGAGAGTGCCCCACTAGGGAGCAGAAGGCCCTGGGTCAGTCTTCAAGGGGCAGCAGGTACAGCTCTGTGGTTCTGGAGTCTTTGGTTTTAAAGGCCAGGACAAAGGAGGGGTCAGAACCTGGAGAAGAACCAGAGTTTGGGGAAGGAAAAATAAAAAATGAGAAAGAAATTCAATCTACTTGGGACTCTGTTAGACCTGTCATTGCAAAACCAAAATAAGTCCTTTTAGATCTTTGGGTGTTAACACTATGAAAGATAGGATAGATTTATTTCACATTTATATATTTTTGTCTAAATATACAAGACTATGTACAAAAAAAAGCCCTCAGGCAGCCTATTGGGGTGGAAGGAGGGCAAGGTCAGCCTCCGGATCTGTGCCTTGGAACCACTAGACTGTGCACAGAGAGGATGTTGTGCGGTGTGTGAAGAATGAATAAAGTCTCAGTTCCCCTCTTCAGCTGAAGATATGAGGGCACTGGCAGGAGTGGGGCTAAGTAACAGCCCAGGACCCATTTTTTTTACCCCAAACTCCCACTTCCCAAGCCCCTGCCAAGATCAAATTCTCGGAGCAAGACTATTAATGGGGGAAAGGTTAGCTACTCCTCACTAAACTTTGGATAGAACAGGAGTCATTCGGGGGACTCCAGACCCCGGCACATCTGCCTACTTGGCCTCCTCAGAGTCCAGGAGACAGGGTTAGAGAGCCGACATGGAGCAGAGGGAACCCACAGAATGGGGGGGGGGGGCTCAAGCTTCAGGGAGGCCACAGTTAGTAGGTCAGCTTAGAAGCAGCACCATGATTAAGTCCAGCGTGGCCCATAGGGTCCCCAGGGCCGCAGAGGAAGAAGGGGTGGGAGCCCTCACGTGAGCTGCGTAATGCCCTCCCCCCATCCACTCTCCAGTAACTCCACGGCCAAGGCAAAGTCAAACTCGTGCAGCGGGGGCCCATCCACGGCGATCTTCACCACGTGGCCGCTGCGGCCTTCCCCACCCACGGAGGGCCCCCACCACCGCAGCTCCCGGCTGCGGCCCACCTTGTCCAGGAGGTTGGCGCCTGTGGGCAGCACCAACCCCAGGGCAGCGAGGGTGGCGAAGTCGGGGAAGAGCTCGTGCAGCTCTGAGTGCTCGCAGGCCAGCTTGGCCCAGAGCGCGCGCGGCCCCAGCCGCCCCAGGCTGCACACCACGCGCTTGAAGAGCGCGAAGTCGCCCAGTGCGCGCTGGGGCACCACGGCGGGCGCGAACGTGCGCAGCAGCACGCGCAGAGCCCCCTCGCCGTAGGTGCCCAGGTCCTCGGGCTCCTGCGGGTAGCGCCGAGGATCAAAGATGGTAGCGAAGGCGGCCACAGCGTCCAGCGAGGCCCCGGGGTAGGAGTCCCGCAGTCCTGTCCGCATGGAGTCCAGGAAAGCCCCCCGCAGCCTCTCGAAGCCGCGGACGGCCGCCTCGGAGTAGCCGACCAGCTCCACACCGAGATAGGTGCAAGGCCCGTCACTCCCACTGGAGTCTGAGGTGGGGAGTTCCTGAAGGAAGCCCTGGAGGCGGGTGCCACCGGAGCTGCGCTGTGCTTGCAGGGAGGCGGCGGCCGTCATCACCAGCGGCTGCAGCAGAGCCAGGTCCGGCTCATCGGGCTGCAAGACAAGGGCGAGTTTCTGCACCGAAGGCAGAGCGTCCAGCAGCAGGTGGGTGAAGGCCACGAAGGTGAACTGGCGAAGGGCGAGGGCCAAGGTCCCCGCAGTGGGTGAGGTTGAGGCTGCAGCTTCCAGGGTGGGCACCAGGCGGGGCCAGGCCTCAGCCACTGCTTCCACCACAGGCAGCACCGAGGCCCAGGGCACGGGCCTCGGTCCTGCCAAGTCAATAGCTGCAAGGTCCAGTGCTGCTCGGAGCTCAGGGACCATGTGAGAACTAGGACCACTGTGCAGGCGGAACAGGGCATCCAGTATGCTTTCATATTCACCCAGGTAGGCAGGGGGCTTGGGGTCTGTTCGGCCTGGAAGGCAGTGTAACTCGGTAAGCAGTGGGCAAGCGGCCTGGAGCTGTGCACCCAAACTCCCCAGGCGGTCGCTTGGGAGGCTGGAGCTGAGCCAGGCCAGGTTGGTAACAGACACGCCAAAGGCCTGCAGGATGTCCAGGAGCTGGCTGGCCGTGGCCTCGCTTTCTTGCAGCTCCATAGTGCCCAGAAAGGTGGTGGCAGACTGACCATCACAAGGGGACACCGAAGTGGCAAACAGGGCCAGCCCGTGGGACTCGGGCCAGTCCCTGGTCTCATCCAGCACCAGTCCCACATATGGGGATGCCTTCAGGCGCTGGCAGTCCTCCATGTGCAGGACACTGGCAATGGCCACCTGGGGCAGCCGGGGAGAGAAAGGGAGAGAGGACAGAGTTAGGCTTGTCCTGAGAGGGGGAGGCCAGCAATGTAGGATGGGGGAAAGGAACACAGCCTGATTTATTATCCTGGCTTTGCTACTTATTAGCTAAGTGTGAGTCTGAGCAAGTGACTTCCCCTGAGACTTGGCACCCAAACCAGCTAATACTTGCCTTACTTGCCTCCCTAGGTTGATGTGAGGCTCAAATGAACTCATGAATGTAAAAGTGCTTTATGAACCACAAAGGGCTCTGCGAAAGCTGGGTTTTCACTCACACAGCTGGTACCAAGGCCAGAAACTACAACTCTTCTTTGTTTTTGTTTTTTTCCCCAGAAGTTACAACTCTTGTGCCCCTCAGGAGCCATGCAGGTGGCACTGAGCATGGAGTGGGTCAGGGGTAAACCACCGGGATGCCGAAGACCTCAGCAAACTGCGTCCTGCTTCCCAACTCCACCACTCTTTGCTGTAGAAGCACAGAGTCCTAACTTTTTAGTTACTGTTTTTACATGCCATTGAGTTGATTTCACCTCAAAGTGACCCCATGTGACAAAGCAGAACTGCCTCAGACAATTTTCTGGGCTGTCATCTTTAAGGGAGCAGATTACTTCTCTTCAGAGCCGTTGGGTGGGTTCAACCTTCCGATTAGCTGAGTGCTTAACTGCTGTGCCACCAGGGTGCCTTCTAGCTTTTCCACAGACATCACAAATCTGGACTTTTATACATAATCTCCCAATATTTCAAGTTGGGAATGAATTGAAAAAGAACCGCCAAAACATTATGAGACTCAAACACATCTGAGGACTCATCATACTCCAGGGCCACAAGTCTGTAAACTCTGGCCTAAGTAGTGAGGGGAGTTCTTCTGTGCCCTCCAGGACCAGGCCTGGTCTAGCTTTATCACTGTCCTGTCTCTAGCAGGCAGCCTTCCCAGGACCTGGTAACTAGCAGGCCCTTGGTAAGGGTCCCGATGGGTAAAGGTGTGAATTAAGTGTCCTGGTCCATGATGGGCAATGGGCAGGACCTGGCATGCTCGGGTTATGCCCTGCTGGCTAGGTGACCACCCTCCCCAAGTCCTTAATATGCCTCTGGCTGTCACCCACCTGCATGTCCCTCACCCTCCTGGGGCTGTAGTAATCGCTGTGTTCGGTGCCCAGCAATGCCTGGCACAGGTTGAACCTCTGTAGCTCAAGCAAGGCAGAGCAGCGGTCATCAGGCACGTCCTCCTTGGCCATGCAGTACACAGTGGTCAGCACAGCTACTTTGGCGGGATCCACATCTGCCTTGAAGCCCCGAGAGGTGTGAGTGGAAGCCAGGCCTGGGTAGGCTCCCCTTCCCTCAGGGTGGCCCTGGTTGAAGGCCAGAGCCTGGCGGTGGGCCCCCGAAGTCACATGGCGCAGCAGGGCATGGCGCTGGAAGTTGTCGGTGCCCACGGTGAAGGCGTTCTCAGCCTTGCCATGCTTGTTCCGTACCAGGGCCTGGCGACACTCAAGGCAAAACATGAGCTTCCGCTCATAGTCAAAGTCCAGCCAGGTAAACTCCTCTTTCCAGTGCTCGTTGAAGTAACGCTTGCATTTCTTATTGGAGTTGGAGGCCTCTCCAGCTGGTTTCTTCCCAGGAGGCACCATTCCTGCTTGCTGAGCAGGGCACCTCCAACCCCCTCCCAACTTCTCTTACCCCTCAGCCTCCCCCACACACAGAGGCACCTTCCTTGGCAGGGGACGTTGGTGGGCAGGCAGGAGACTGGCAGCCCACCAGGCTAATGGGGACCATCCATCTAACTTATTCAGGAAAGCTTATTCCTGCTTCACCGGTGAAGGACTGGAGATGAAAGAGACAAGGGAGAGGTGTTAGGGAGTCCACAGTGGTGGGGTGGTTTAGGATGGGGTAACAGGGTTCATACTGCCTACAGACCCCTCCCTAGCTGAAGGAAGAATGGACTCAATGGGGCGGGGGCTGTTGAGTAGACCGAGTGTGCAAATGGCCATAGAGTATTGTCCAGCACTCTTTGGAGCTATCGGGATCCCAGGACTCTCCAAGGGTCTCTTTCCATCCAGGACTTTGGCCTTGATGACAGAAGCAGCTCAGAACTTGGAAGTGTCACAACTAGAAGGGCTGAGATTCCATTTATACAACTGTAAGAATAGGGAAATCGCGCCCCAGAGACAGACTATCAGAAGTGGTCCTTCCAGCCCATCATTTAGTCCATCAGAAGGAAGTCAGCACAAAGCCGAGCTGCTTCCTGAGGGACGGGAATGAGAGCGTGTCCTCTGGAGTACCTCTCCTGCACACACGCCACTCATGAACATGGCAGGGCTTGAAGGAGCTCAGAGGTTATTCTTCACTTCCCTTCTGTCACCGCTCCTCCAGTCCCCAACTTTGGACAACTGAGGACCAGAAGGCCAATCGAGCCTCAAACCTGCCAACTCCACTCCTCATTCTCTTTCATATCTGTCCCTTCCTCCACAGGCCTAAAAACAACAGTAACTGTCATTTCTTAGGTGTGAGTGGAATCAGATCCTATGCTGAGTGTCTGACAATGATTTTTTTTTTTACTTTTGTTTGTTTTGTTATGTACCATCAAATCGGATCCGACGGGCACAGGGAAAAGATTGCCCCTCCTTCTCCAGCAGAGTATCTGGTGGATTCAAACCATGTGTCTTCAGGATTGCAGTGCAGCTTCTTGCCACTAGGCTACCAGAATTCCCTACTGACAATGATTCTTGCAAGTCCTCTGAGAGGGAGGCCTTCTGACTTGGCAAAGGAGGAAACTCAGACTCAATCAGCCCAGGTGACCTGTGTGAGATTCTGGAACTAGTAAGTGGCTGAGGAAGGATGAGAATCCAGGTCCTCCTGACCACTGAGGCCCAGTTCTATCTGCCTCTGTCCTACATGCTGTCCAGCCTGTCATTTCCCAAAGCCAACCCACACAGCAGTACCACTCCCTTGTGCCAGCTCTCCCATGCTGCCCCACTGCCTACCTGTCTACTTTACTATGAACCAAGGAGACCCTCCCCAACCTCTGTGTACCCTAGAGCCTTCTACCACTCCAGTCTGCTCAGCCAACTCTAAAAGGCTTCCTGTTCTCGCACAAACTCAGCTGTCACTTTGTTCTTGCCTTTATCCTCTATCCCTGGAATTCTTGATAGAAATCTTTCTCTGCCTAACTTTTATTTATTCTTGCTCTCTGACCTCTTCAACCTGGACCTCATCTCCCCTAAATTAACAATATGGTGAATCCAGGGCTTCTTTCAATATCTCTGCACTTGGCTTCTAGAAGGTCAAGACCACACATGTTCATTTATTCCAGAGGCGCCTTGGAAGAAAGACCAGGCAATCTGCTTCCAAAAGGTCACAGCCTTGAAGTCCCCATGGAGGGCAGTTCTCATTGTGCGTACATGGGGTCACCATGTGTTGGCATCAACTTGATGCCAACTGGTTTTGTTGTTATTATTAGTTTGGTTTGCTTGTTTTCATTTAAGTGCCTGTACAGGGCTGGGCACAGAGGTGCCTCTCAATAACATCAGTTATTTGAAAGGGTGACTTTTGACTCATATGAGCCATTTTTGGGGAGCACTGAGTAGATGAACTCCGAGGAAGCAGTGCATGACCCCTGGTACTTGGGGCCTGGCATGCAGTGGGGTGGTGGGAGGGCAGATGAGCGGATTCCCAGGGGAAGCCCCTCTCAGTTACCAGATGCCTGTGAAGCCTGTTGCTCCTTTTCCTCTGGACTCCGAAGGCATCTGGTGCTGCTTACCACATCCTCCCTGAAACTCTGTCTTCTCTTATTTCCCACCACCACACATCCTCTAGTTTGCTTTCTCCCTCTCAGCCAGGCCTCAGCCTCCAACGTCATCACCTTTTCCTTTCCCCAATCTCAAACTGCCCTAACGTTTCAGAGCCATCTGTGCTGACCTCTCTTACACCCATAACCCCAGCCTGGACCTCTGCCCCGGGCACCATACCTCTGCATCCAACCGCCTTCCCGACTTGTCCACATGGAACTCTCAGTTTGTTCCTGTGAAATGGCTCCCACCCACCCACATGCTCCAGTCAGAAACCTGCTCCTCCAACCTTGACTTGCCCTCCCATGTTCTACCTCCAGCTCTTCCCTTCCCTCCATACCATGGCCATCCTCCTCATCCAAGTTGTCTCATCTCTTGCCTGGACAAGATCAATGACTTCTTGATGAATCTGTGGGTTTCCACTTGTAGCCTGCAGCAGTCAGAGGGAGCTTTTTAAAATGTGCTAGTGGTAATACAAGGGAGCTCAGGTGGCCTAGTAACAAGAAGCTGCACTGCAATCCTGAAGGCACGTGGTTCGAGGCCAATCAGCTGCTCTGAAGGAGAAGGATGAATAATCCTCTTCTGAGCAATTAACTGTCTCTGAAAACTCTCTGGAGGGTCTGTTATGGGTCAGTTCTGACTCTCCAGTACACAACAACAACAACAACAATTGGTAATATATTGAGCGCTCTGGTGGCCTAGTGGTAAGAAGCTACGCTGTTCAAATCCACTAGATGCTTCTCAGGAGAAGGATGATGGGTAGTCTCTTGTGTGATTTACAGCCTCTGAAAACCTACTGGAGGGTCAGGTATGGGACAGTTCTGACTCGATGGCGCACAACAACAACAAAAAATTTTGCTGTCAACCCAAAGGCACCCAGTTCAAATCCATCAGCTGTTCAGGAGGCATGGGCATTCTCCTCGAGGGTGATTTACTGCCTCCAAAAACCGGCTGGAGGGTCAGTTCTGACTTGACAGTACGCAACAACAACAAATGATGAGGTCACAGAGTCTTGGTGGCACTACAGTTAAGCATTGGGCTACTAACTGAAAAGGGAGCAGTCTGAACTACCAGCTGCGCTATGGAAGAAAGATGCAAATTCTGCTCCCATAAAGATTTATGGCCTTAGGAACCCTAGAGGGAACTTAGCAAGGATCTGTCTCCTAAGATTGCTATGAGCTGGAATCTGCTGGATGGCTTAGAGGAGGCCAGTAATGTATTTAAAACCACTCTGTGACTTCCTTTGGCTTGGAGGCCAGCACCAGGACCCTTTTAGAGGTCTGTAAGATCCTGCCTGCGCCTTGCTGAGCTCTAGAGTGACCACTTGAGCTTCTCCCCCTTCCTCTTACAGAGAGACCTTTTCTCTTTCACTTAGTGCCAGGTTCCCCTCAGGCCTTGTGCCCACACTGTCCCTACCACTCCTCTGCTCTGGACTTACCTACCCTCTCTTTAGTGGAGTCTTCCCTGATTGTCCTTTCCCAGAAGTCAGCTTTCTTTTCTGTCACTGCGTGTGTTTGTTCCCTTCTCAGCACTCCTCATTGTTCACAAATCTCTGCTTTGTTTTTCAGCACGGCTCTGTTGCCCGGCTGCTACTTTCTCTGAAATGTACAATCTCCGAGGGCAGGAAAGGTAACTAACTGCCTTGTCCTTGCCTGAGCCCCAGAGCTGCGCACAGTGTCTGGTACCCAGCAGGTGCTCCACAAAATGCAGGGAATGAATGAATGAATAAGGAAGAGCAAGCCCCAAGAAGAGACAGCAATGGAGTGGGCACTTGGGCACCTGTTGGGTGTTTAAAACAGCTGCCTTTGACATCCTTTCCTCCCAGGATTCCATAATTCTGTGACCTTGTCCAACCCACCGCCCACAGGACCTAAGAAAGGGAGGGGGCACGAGGCCAGCATGACACCCTTCTGGAAACCTGTCAGATCCTTTCTGCCTGCCCAAAAGCTGGCTGTCTGGCCACATTCCACATAGGGACAAAGGGAGCCTTAGAACTAGGGTGCTTTTAATTTTTTAAAAAACAAACAAGAGAATAAATAAGTAGAGAAAGGCATGGGAAGGTAGAGATTCTAAAACTGGGGATAGTGGCTATTGTACTAACTACACAGCACAGATCAAGAACATGTAAATCATTCTGGAAAGCTCTGTTTGACAGCACTGTTCTTAAAAAAACAAAACAAACACCCCAAAAACCCAACCAAAAATGTCAAAATCCACTGACATTCTACCCTAATCTGAGTAGGCTAGACCGGACAGGGGGTGGGTATAAATAAATTTGAGATGACATTGGTTTAGAGTTCTAAGATGGTGTGAACAGTTAACATGCTCATTGGCTAACCAAAACAAGGTTGCAGTTTGGGTTCTGCCACAGGCACCTCGGAAGAAAGACCTGGTGATCTCCTTCCAGAAAACCAGCCCATTGCAAAACCTCTGGGGCCATTCTACGCTGACGCACATTGAGGGGCCCCATGAGTCAGAAATGACTCATGGGAACTGTTTATGTTGGTTCCTTCGGTGACCAAGGGTACCGAGGCACCAACCTCTCCATAAACCTCCCGACACCCTGGTCAGCTAGAGGGGAGTGTACAACTTGGGGGGCCTCTGAGCCGATTATGTGGTCTAAGATCAGTCCCTGTCGCTCCTACCCCAACATGTTAAACTCATAGTATGTCTTTCACCCCCAGGATCGCGGTTCCGGCCTCCTCCCCAGGCTCCTTTGGGCCCCTTTAGTTCGGGAACTCCCACTCGGAGAAGTTCACTCTGCAGACGCTCGTAGGGCTGGGGCGCTGCCTGGGGGAGTAGGGGCTCCTCGGGAACCCCTCGGCCACGCTCTCTAGGGGCTG